CGTCAGGTGAAGCTCCGTGTCCCCCTCAAGAATAGTCATCTCCTTCATACCCGTATCACAGAGGGCATCTCTTATCATTTTCCATAAGTAGCAATCAAGGAATCGAGGTTCATCAGTGGGCCCTCCTCCAAATCCCTTTTCTTCCCCCCAACGAAAGTGGAGCATTCCAGATTCACATCCTTGCATAGGACGGAAATAGCGATGGGCAGAGCGTGTCGACGAGCTCTTTCAATAGCTTTTAACGAGGTCACCCCAGTGTCCTAGGGAGAGGGAGAGGGAGAGGGAGAGGGAGGGAGGGAGGGAGAGGAGAGGAGAGGACAGGAGAGGGAGGGAGAGGACAGTAGAGGGAGGGAGAGGAGAGGAGAGGAGAGGGAGAGGAGAGGGAGGGAGGGAGGATGACGCGGAAGGGAGGGGATATGGATGGACGAGAGTGGAAGGAGGTCAAAGGGAGAACCATGAGCAAAGCGTGAACTCCTCCTGCCTCCGTCAGGTCCTTGGCGAGCTAGAGGACGAGAGATAGTTAGAAAAAAGAGGAGGAGGAGGGGGAGGCATATATGCTATACCATCGGAGAGTTTCGGACGAGGTTGCCCAGGGCTCCGGCAGCATTCGATCTTGTCTTCTCCGTGGTCTCTTGCACGCACCTGGAGGAAACGGTGAGAAGCGAAGGAGAGGGAGGAGGAGGGAGAAGTGAAAGGGGTCGAGGAGCAGGGCGAGGGGCGGGGGGGCGGAGGAGGGGGATGAGGGAGAGGAGGAGGAGTAGACTGCTGTAGTTTCGCTTACTCGATGAGTAGAGGGATGGCGAGCTTGAGCCGAGGATAGAGCAAGGCGCTGCACGTAAATGAGTGAGAGAGCCGAGAGGAGAAGGGGAGGAGGAGGAGGGAGGAAGGGAGGGGAAGGAGGGAGGGGAAGGAGGGAGGGGAAGGAGAGAGAGAGGTAGGGAGGGTAAGAACGGAGGGAGGAGAGGGAGGAAAGGACGAGGCGACGGGAGCAGGGCACCTGTGAAATGCAGCATTGCCGAGCGCGAAACAAGCAAACTTGCGGGTATTCGAATCCTCGTCTCCTGCGCACTTGATGATCTCGTCCAGCAGGCCAGTCTCATCCAGAGCCTTGTAGAAGTAGTCCGAGTACCTTCCTCCTCGTCAGTCCCTCCTTCCTCCTCCTTCCTCCTGCTCTTCTACCTCCTGCTCTCCTGCCCCCTGCCTCCTGCCCCACTGTCCCCTGCCCACTACTCCTACTCATCTCACCTACAGATATTCCCCACGAAGTTGCACACACGGGCGCGGATGGCGCCATCGGAGTGCTGGCGGAGGAGGAGGATGAGGAGAGGAAGCGGCTGCGCAAGAGCGATGGCGGGGTAGTAGTCGCGCGACAACCTTGCAAGCATCGACAAACTGCCGAACATGCTCGTCAATGTGCAACAATCTTCATCCTCCTCCTCCTCCTCTCTCCTCTCCTCCCCTCCCTCCTCCTTCTTGGCCCCTCCCCTCCCTCCTCCCCTCCCTCTTCCCTCCTCCTTCTTGGCCCCTCCCCTCCCTCCTCCCTCCCTCCTCTCTTGGCTCCTCCTCTGCCTCCTCTCTCTCTTCCTCTCATACTCCCTACATTATCAGTGCGTCCACCACAAGTCCAGGTCTGTTCGTCGGATCAAGCATCATGCTTATGAGCTCCTAAAGCAAAAGGACCTCAGCACGTGCCCTCCCTCCCCTCCCCTCCCTCCCGCTGCTTCCCTTGCCCTCCCTCCCTCCCCTCCTTCCCCTGCCGGCCTCCTCTCCTCCTGCCTCGCACCGGTCTGAGGCCGCCACTCTCCACGAACTGCAGCGCGAACTGTCCTGCTGACACGAGTGACCGAGGGGAGGAGGAGGAGGAGGAGGATGGAAGCACCGCCGGGCAGCATGATGAGGCGGGAGAGGAGGACGATCGATCTCTCCATGGCCGGTCGGTTGACATGCAGGAGCGCTCTCACGAGAGCATGTACGACTCCTCCTGACAGCAGCTGGCTCTGCAGTTTGACCAGATCGCTTCCCTGTTGTGTGAAGAGCAAAGACAAAGATTGCGGTAGCGATGATGATCATGGAGAGGAGGAGGAGGAGGAGGAGGA